AATAATACTAAAGCCACTTGATGTTTTTTAATTGGCAATTAATGTATGCATATTTATTTGTTGGTTAGGTGATTATGGGGACCTATAAGCATGTAGATGGGAAAGGCCACATGAATTTGTGCAAACTATAGAAAGGAAGAAATTCATGAGTTCACAAATATTAAAGATCCTAAACTAAATTCAAGGTCACTAAATGAGTGCCTCCATTTCAGGTGAAGTTTTTAATATATATAAGGCCACACAAGAGGCCTGTCTTTTTCACACTCATTATTACTCTCTTTGGCAGTTGCAAGAAGGCAATGACTTAAGAAATTGAATAATGTTACTTTACCCGAAAAATGTGACATAATGGTTGATAAAATAAATGTTGGCAAGATGTGATTGGTTGAAAAAGTTGATTGTGTTTTAAACAGTCTAATGATAGGTTGTCATATGACATTATGTCAATAATTATGTCAACCATNATAATGGTTGACATAATAAGTGTTGACAAGATGTGATTGGTTGAAATAGTTGACTAAGTTTTATACAGTCCAATAATCTATTGCTACGTGTCATTATGTCAATAATTATGTCAACCATTATATTCATGAAATTAGCAAACGAAGTACAAATATGATCTATCATACTGCCTAGTGATGACCATATCATAGAGATCAAAACCCTAATCCCCTTTTTGCCAAAGCAATAATAATTACAATTAAAATGAAAATAAAAATAAGTAAAGTGCGCGCACAAATTTATCTTGGATCATCCTTGATACTAAAATTACACCAACTTGTCACTATTCACTATAGTAGAGAAGGGTCCGTTCTTTTTCGCCTCTCAGGAGCTCCAAAAACTCGTCTCTTAAAATTTTTTACATGGTAGGAATGTTAAGACGATCTAATGCATTTATGATAACAAATATACCACTAAGAAAAGAAAAAAAAAAAAAAAAAATCCCCCCATGAAGTGTGTACACATTAGAATATGAAGTTGATCCGTGACTTAAAAATAAGTATACAACGTTAAGTTTCGCACTGATCAATACGATATTACATGCCAAACATGACATTAACGATGAAAGNAAAAAAAAAAAAAAATCCCCCCATGAAGTGTGTACACATTAGAATATTAAGTTGATCCGTGATTTAAAAATAAGTATACAACGTTAAGTTTCGCACTGATGAATACGATATTACATGCCAAACATGACATTAATGATGAAAGCTACAAAATAAAAATCCTAGTTGTCCATCAATATTTTTTCTCTCTTAAATGAAAATAATAAAAGATAGGGCCAGCTGGCCTACACAAATTTAATTCATCTCCCAACTTAATTTTTCAGTTGGAGAATGTGTGTGCAGTACTGCATTTTTCAGAAAATAGGCCCCATTTCTGATTTCAGAGTGGAAATGCAAAAGAAAATCTGCAATCTCCAACAGACAGAAAGGCAGTATGATTTTCATGGGAGAATGCTAGATGTACATGACAGTCCCCTAACATGAGGGTGGGGCTCGTGATTTTAAAAATTAGGAAAACTCCTCCAAAAGCTCTTCTACAGGAAGTAAAAGTAAAAAGTCACTGACCCTTAGTTTACTTGAAATGCATATACCATATTTTAAGAGTACCAAATTATTCCTTCACAAAAGACCACAAGTTATAGTCTTAAAACATAATCCGCACATACAGCAATCAAATTTCCCAATATAAAAGCTCGAGTATTCTAATATGGGATTTCCAGCTACGATAACATGCCAAATGCACCCGTAAACATATTTCTCCTCGACTATTTAACATACGCATTTCGTCATTATCAGCAGCAAGATAATTAACCACCACCGCCAGAGCCGTATTTCTTGCCAAAAACGACAACCTGTAATTTGTCGTAACCAGCAAGTACACCGGCCCCCGCAACAGCACGCAGAATGTTCGCTCCAGCACCCTTGAAGAGTGATTTAGCCCCTTCGTTCTTGACGATCTGTGAAAATGCATCCATGGAGCTCTTATATTTGACAGACTCTCCCGAGGTCATCATCATTCTTCTACGCACTGTGTCAATTGGGTAAGAGGCCAACCCGGCACCAATTGTGATACCCCATCCCAGTAAGAAACTAGCGAAGAAATTATCCTGTGGTTAACCAAATACAGTAACACTATGTTAGTAGCCTGCAAACTGGCAACTTGGTCTAAAAATTACTAAAGCAGCACGCGAACATAAATGTAATATACTCATCAAACAGAGGAAAAAGAGCGTGCCAAAGCACATAAAATTGGGTCATCATGCAGGTCAAAGATCGTCATGGCAACACAGCAGAAATTGACACCGAGAGAACAAGAATTTAGCCAAGTTGACAAGGCCAGCTTTCACTCCATCCCAAAGTCTTGAAAGCATGGAAGAAAAGGCAATGCATCTTATGGATGAAATAAAGTGGCAAATATGGGTTGATGGCGTATAACTGGAGGTTTAGAATCAAGAGTTCTAAGTCCAGAAGTCTACTGACCTGCAATGAACCAACCAGAACTACAGGTTTCAACGAATCATACATTCCAAAGTAGAGCCCACGGTAGACAATGATTCCAACACATGAGATATTAAATCCACGGTAAAGCCCAGCCATACCATCAGATTTAAGTGTTTTCTTGTAAACATCAATCAAACCGTTAAACTGCCTTTCACCACCCTTTTTGGCAGCCTTAGCATCATTTGCCAACCGTGTTCTAGCATAATCAAGAGAATATACAAACAGAAGAGACGAGGCACCAGCAGCACCACCCGATGCCAAGTTTCCTGCAAACCACTTCCAGTAGCCATCCCTGTCTTTCTTGAAGTTAAAAAGCCTCTTGAAGTAGTCTTTGAAAGCAAAGTTTAAGGCCTGAAAGCATATGTATTAATTTCAAATGTCAATTAAATGAAAAGCTGATAAACTAGAGAACTATTACCATATTTTAAGCCATGCTTTAATTTCAATAATATATCTCAAAAGCACAAGAACCAAAATAATTTATTGGATAGAAATAGTTGATATGTTTCCATAAAACATGGATAACCAAACATAATAAAACTGGTCAAGTACGCATTTGCACAACGAATTTAAACGCACCCGTTCCTTTGGCGATTAGACTGCATCTTGCATGACATATACTTAACAAAGTGGAAAAATTAAAAGAAAACAATGGAGACCGTAAGGAACGGATAAGATTGTATAT